ATAATAATATAATTTTTAAAATTTAAATTTAATCGTTCGAAAATTATTTAAATGGACTGTTGATTGAAAAAAATAAAAATAAAACAAAATTTCTCTTCAAATTTCCAGTGACGTCACTTATTCAAATATGTAATATGTTACTATAGTAACAGGGTGGAGACCTTAAAAAAAACAACAGCGACGCAAGTAAATTGTATTAGTAATTATTCACTAGTTAAAACCACATATAAATAGAGGTTAACAGATTGTTCTAAATAGTTTTGAAACATTTTAAAGCAATTATAAAAATTAAATTTATGCTAAATACCTGTATTAATTAAATTAAATTGAAATTTCTAGTCAAGTAAATAAATCTTTAATATTTAAGCTTAATTTCTATTTTAAAAGAATTTAAATCTTTTCGTTGATAGTATTTGTATATAAATAGTAACATTTTAACTTATTTATATATTTTAATTTGACAAGTTTTTCAACTAATATAAAATCTCTCAATGCTGGGTCCGCGAACTACCAATTTTTTAAACTTTCGCTTAGCTGTTATAAAATGCTTTTAAAATTTGTTTAATATTTATTGTTAGACTAATATTTGAAATTCGGTTCTTTATATAATAATGTATTTATACTGTTATCTATAAAGGAAACCGGAAGTTATGCGACCTTTCTCTTCCTCTTTTTTTTTTATTAAATATTTATAAACAAAAGTTTATATGCTATTAAATGAAGTTTTTCCTTCAATATATCAAAATTAACGAAAAAATTTAATATAAAATGACAAATATTAAAGATTAGCGATTAAATATAAAATGAAGTACAGTAATACTTCTCAACCTTTTTCATACTCGGCGACATCCCTTTTATTTTAAATACAGTTTGCGCTCTTCCGAGAGCTGGCGATCTGCCGTTCAGAAAGTGAAACATAAAATTGAAATACCATTAATATTTACATATATACATAAATACAGTACAGTATCGGTATAATATTTAACTTTCCAAACGATAGATATAAATCGTAAGAATCTAAATTTAAAGTCCAAATTCTGGAGATATTCCCCAAAATGCTTTTTTATCCTCAATTGACCTAATTCAAAAAAATGATTTAAAAAGTTTATTGAGTGAACTAGCAGTTTAAGAGGTCACGAATAAAAGGTTTAGGTTGAAATCATTAAAAATAGTAACAATGAATTTGAAGTTTGTATAATCATCTGGTGAACTTGTAACATTTGGAAAGGGTCCAAAATATCTGGAGGAGAAAGAAAAATGGCTTTTACACATCAAGTCGAAAGATGGTGGAGAATTGAAAATGGGATCGATATAATAAATATATAAATAAAATTGTCTGGTATATGAATTAATAAAAACTTTTTTCTTGCTTAAGTGCATTTCGTGAAGCGGTTTCTTCAATAAATAAATGCATTTAAACATTATTATTTTTAAAATTATCGAATAAAAAATAACTTTTTGATTAACTACTCGTACAAACTGTTTGTCACTAAAAGATAATATAGAAGTAATTTATTTATACAGAAATATTTTATAAATGTTGATCAAAATTAAGTTTATAAATTTTAAAATTAATTACACGTGTACGGTCAAACCTCTGGACAACGGCCACTAATAGAAAAAATTGGCCATTGTTTGAGAATAATTATGTATAAATTTTTATTCAAAAATATTTCTGAAGCTGTTTAGAGGTAGCCGTTATTGGAGATTCGACTGTAAATACAGCATTTTAAATAATTTGTGATTTAATATGGCTAATTTAATATTTGAAAGATAGTGAATAAAATTCAGCACTTATTTGACCTTTCCTTTTCTTTGTTTTAAACATAAAAAAGTTTTAAAAATTAGTTATAAAAACGATGTTATGTAATACTAGCAACAGATTAAATCGAATTCAGAACATACAGGCCTACATGGATAAACTTGAAATTTAAAATAAATTCATACATTGTAATTAATTAATTAATTACAATGTATGAATTTATTTTATTTATTTATTTACAGTTTTATTTATTGTGTCTAACTTCATAATAGAAATTGCCTACGACGTAATTATTAATAGAACAAAAATACTTTCCATTTGTTTTTACTTTGTCTCGTAGAGTAATTATCGATTGATATCTCTCAATGATTTGTAAGCATTATTGTACAATGCCTCCTGAATTATCCAGTTATAACAACGTGGTTTTTGTATCATGGGACTCCTTTTCTGAGAATAGAGTCGCCTATATCGAGCGTTTTTACGTGTAAGGTTTGGGGAAAATAAGAAAATAAAATTTAGATAAATAGATAAAAAAATGTAATGTAAAAAAATTCACATTCATTTAAAAGTCTAGATGGTTTGGGTCGAACCCACAACCTTTCATAATTTATGGAAAAATTTTGAAAATTTAAGTTAAATATTCTATAATTTTAGGTCTTTTTGTGCAAATTACAGAAGAGAAACTTCATTTCAAATGAAATGTTTTGTTTAAAAAATTAACTCAATTGAATTGTATATTTTATTATGATTTGATATACATATAAACTATTCGTTTGAATAGGTGAAATAAATATTTAATATTTAAGAGATTTTATAATTTGGTATCCTTTCATTTAAAAATACTGAACATTATAACGAGAGGTCATGACATCAGAACGCTGTAACGAGATAAACAAAAGATTAAAGTTTGATAATAATAAAAAAATCTATAGGACAATGAACTTTTACAACTGTTTTCATTAAGCATAAATTATGAAATTAATTTATACAGTACAGTACATAAACCTAATTCAAATTGCTCATAATATTTTCTGTTTCATATAATATTGAGTGAATATTTTCTATACTTTTTAACTGTTTATAAAGTCATTAAGTTCATCTCATACATGAATTTTAATTCAAAAATTTAAAGATCTACCACACAAACCATACATATACAATATATAATATAAAGATTTAAATAGGAAATTTAAAAATTTTATGATTTGATTAACAAAAACTTAAAGCAGAAGCAAATTAGGATGGTTTTAATACTTTTCCAGATTAACAGTAAAAGTTTTTTACTGTTAATCTGTGGTCTTTTCTGATAAGATTTAGACCTTGGTTAATTAATTAATAGAACCGTATGATTTTAAATATAGAAAGTAATATGTAATATTTCATATAGTAATATGAAATATAGAACTTATAATTTTTATAGTTTATGATTTAGAATTTATAATCTTGCTTCTCTTCAATTTCTTGCTTCCTCCATTCCTTGCAAATAATAATTATTTAAGTTTTAATTTTGCATTCAATTTATTTATTACTTTTTTATTTAAAAAAATAGTCTACAGTATTTAATTTCAGTAAATTGTGAGTTTGCAATTTTTTTCTTAATTAAAATAGTTGTCTTTCTGATTTGAAGTTTAAGTTTGAAGTAACAACCACAAAATTTGAATTTTTAAATTACTTATATTATTGAATAAATATCAAATTAATTGTTAATATTCAAGTTTGAAGCACAATATTTAAATTAGGAGCTTTAAATTTGGTGTGCTTCACAAGCAGCTAATTAAACAAACCACTGGTGTAGTTTATTTCATATGAAACGAACTAAACCATTGGTTTGCTTATTTAGCTGCTTTGTCACTTAGAAGTAAGTATCCTTGAATTTTATTATATATTTTTAGAAAAATTGTACTTTTAATAAAATTACAGTTTTACAAATTACTTTTAAATACAGTTTTAATTAAATACTGTATGTTAATATTTTTTTTATTTAAAATTTGTTTTTAGAAGTGCGTTTTAATTTGAAATTTTCAAAAATATATTTTTCCAAAACTATTTTAAAATTTATTTATTTTTTTTACTGTTATTAATATTAATTTTTAACGCTTTAAAACTTATATTTATATATACAATATTTACATTTTAAATTATTTGTGACGTAGAACAAATATTTAAGAACGCGAATATTAGAAGAAAATAAACATTTAATATTAACTTTTCGTTTAAAAATATTAATATCGACTAAATTTTATAAAGTATTAATAATGAAATAAAATTACTATTTTTTTATTTAAAGTAAAAATAATCGAAATTAAAAAGAAATTTATATACAGTACAATATATATAAAAAAGCACGAAATTATCGTTTGGTCCGCAGTAAGATTTTAATAACGCATGCGCATCATTCCTCCAATGGGAACGAAGTGTTCACGTGAACAGCACGTGGAAATGTTCTGATATTTTGCCAAAAAACAGTCGTCAGCTGAGCATTTCTTCTAATCGACTGCAAAATGTAAGTAGCAATTTCGGCTTTTATATAGCGTAACATCGCTTATATTATATTAATTGCACTATCAGTCGGCATAAATTAAATAAGAAAACACATAAAAGCAATTATTTAATTACAATTTAATTATTAATTACGATGATGAATGCATCTGTCAAAGTGTTAACGATGTAAAAGTGTGTTCGATGTTTGTTTGTTTGTTGAATTGTTAGAATGATATTGATTGAATGATTTGAACTTGAACCAGTTTAAGCTTTATTTTTTTTTTTAAAAAAGCAGCTTGATCGTTAATCAATTGACCTTTCAGCATTACATTTACTAAATGAGATTATGTTAGTGTTTAGTTATTAATTTTCTACAATTTAATCATTGCAGAGAATTAATTAAGTGGAATTAGATATATAAAACAGTAGAAGTTAGTTCTTAACTTCTAATTTAATTGTTTGTACTTAAAAGTAACTTCTACTTGAATTGAAGAGAAATTATTATATTTTCTGTGTGAAAAAGAATAGAGAGATTAATAACTGATGTAGGCCTATAAGATTATATATACATACATAATGTTTCTGTGTAAAGATTATAAATTTAGCATATCAAAAACATAAATTAGGATTTACATAGGAAATGTCAAAATTATTGGTTTTTTAACCACACCTATATGGTTGTTATGGAGATATCCTGTTGCCTGTATACTGTCCCAAATAGTATATTATTGATCAGGATGACATATCAAATAAAGTTGAAGATGACCATTGCAGTTTTTTGTGGTTTGATAAAATGTTCAGAAGCAACATTTTTAACTCTAGGTAGGGAAAAATTTGTCCTTGCATCATACCACATCCAAAATGTAAATTTATTTTATTTTCTGCCCGTTTATTTTAGGTTTTTAAAAATTAAATTACAATGTACATTTCTGTTATTCATGCTGGACTTTTTTTTTTGTTTAGACTTCACTCTCCGAATTTTGAGATGTCAAATGTCATGTTTACTTTGATGTTTTCCCCCCATGTAGTTAATTTTGTGCTATTCATAAAATTGATTGTTAATTAGTAGTTTCAGTTTTTTCCATTTAAATACATAAAGAATGATTTTAATCTAATTTGTGAAAATAATACTGAACAATATGTATTGTCTATAAATTTAATTGACTTTTTTAAAAATAATGTTTAAGGAATTTTTTAATATTTATTTATTTATATCTTTTTTATTTTAATATTAATTTGATTAGGTAAATTTTTAATATCAAACATTAAACTAAAGTTTTGAAATATAAAACTAATACTTCAATTAGTTAAAAATATAAATGATGGGAAAATTATAAAAATTGTATTAAAATATAATAGTTATTTTTATGTAAATTTACAGAGCAGTAAATATTTATACTGTTTATGCTGTCTTCCAATATGTAAGAAAGTATTTAAGTAATGCTTTTGTCCAAGTATTCTGTTCGAGGAATACAGTACAGTAATACCTTGACTTACGCTAACCCAGAGTTATGCGATTTTCAAATCTTGTTGATTCGTCTTTTGTTTGAGCGCCACACAACTCTTGATTACTCATTCCCCCCACACTATTCAGCTTACATGTTTGGACATATCGCATGGAATCAACACAGCTACAATTTATTTTGTGTTATTTATTTCTGTGTTTGTTATATCTATGGAGACTTGAGAGACTTTGTGGTGATTTCTTGTAACCGTGAATGAATCAAAAGACGACATAAGATTAACGAGAACATTTATTAGCTTGCATACATCTGACTTGGATTTTACACAAATTGCAAAATTATACCCCGACTTATGCAAATTCGACTTAAGTGGTTATTGCTTGGTCCCACCTATCGCGTAAGTTCGGGGTATCACTGTATATCAGAAATACTGTTTCATTAGAAAAAATACATTTTACTTTTATAGTATGAATGTATTGTATCTGTATAAATATTTCAAAGTTCTCTTGTTGTCTTCAACTCATTGTTTACCAGTTTTGATTAGAAACATCCTGAATATAGTATGGCTTTGATTTTAAAGTGCTACAAAAGGTGTTGCAATTTATTTATAACAGCAATAATAGTAATATCACAATATTACCACATTATATATATTATTTATAAGTCCAAAGAACTGTTAAAAATGTTTTTTTTTTATTTTAATTTAGTTACTTACACCATATAGCTATTCATAGTTAATGAACAATAACTATATCATAAGGTCAATATTTTGCTGAGCAGTAGTTACTTAGATTTCAATCATTATTTTCATTGTTGGATTTCACAACTAGTTTCATGAACCCATCCAGAAAATATACATGATTCATATAAAATGAGAAATCATCTGAAATATCATATAGCAATTATCAATGTGTTTGCTTTTATTCACCTTGCATACCATTAATTTAATTAATCAGTTATCACAAGTTCAGTCTTGCAGATTTTACATTTGTTAAGGTCTTTAAGGACTTTTCAAGTATAGAATTTTTTTTTTAATCTAGAATACTTACTAATTATCTTTTTTTATTACATTCATGTAAACTAAAAAGTATTATTTTAACAACAGGTTTATTTTTTCAAATATCAGTAAATAGTTTTAAAAAATTATCCTGCTAGTAAATAGTTCTTATATATTAAAATTTTGTAGTCTTTTGATTACTTTATACATCTATTTTTATTGGATATTAATTTGATCTTGATACTGGAGTAAATAACCAAGTTATAATATCTATATAGTATTACATTTTTTTCCCTCTAAATTGTATGAGTCATCATTAGTTATAAAATGTTTAAATAAGCAATTGTTAAAAATATTGCATATTGTAATTGTTAAAAAATGTACTCTCGTCATTTTGATTTTAATAAAATTATTCTAAGACAATTATAGTGTTTTTTAAACTACATAATACAAATAATTAAAAGAATAATAATTTAGTAAAAACCATTTACAATATACAACATTTGTTATATAGATTTTATAAAATGAATGAATTTATAAGTGAAAATGAGTGCATGTTGCTTATAAAATTAGTTAACATGAATGGAAAATAAAGCTAAACTCTTACTTTTTTTATATTTAAAATATTATTCAAATCCAGATCTACAGTTAAAATTTCTAATTTTATACATATAAGAATGATGATGATGATTACATTTTTATAACTAGATTGAAAAGTTATTAGTGTCATTTTGATCTATATATTATCATAACAAGTATTATTAATAAAATATATTTTGTAAGAAAGTTAATGTCAAGGTTAATTCTAAGTGTTCTATCAAGTAAAAAAATAACTTCAGTTATCATAGTTTAGATGTCTAGCCAACAAAAATGTCTCCTGACCTAGATTTAGAAAAAATAATTTATCACAACAATGAGAAAGATTTTTAAATAATTATATAATTGAAAAACAGTTTGATTTACTGATTTATTCTTATTCAGTTTGTTTTATTAGAATATAATCTTAATATCTTGACTTTGGACAAAATGTTTTTCTAAAATTGCAATTATTGACATTTATTTGCTTGCTTCTTAATTTAAAAATTTAAGGAAAGTTTTAAACTGTGTTTTCTTTAAACAATTAAATATATTTTTTACTTTTTTAAAGATTATTTTGAATTAAATTATTATATCACAACATTCTTCAGACAGTGGCTGAATGCTATGGAAATATTTTCATATTTTATGTTAACAGAATAACTTGAATTTTTTAAAAAGTTTTTCATAATGTAAATGATTTTTTTTGTTATAATATCATATACATTAATAAAAACCATTTTAATAAATGAAAGTCTGATACACTGAAATTAAGAACAGCATTGAAAATATCGTAAATGTATAATTAAAAATGTATCTATCATTCATTCAATGTATTTGTATATAGCTGTTTTTTTTTCCTATTACTGTATTAAGCTTTCATTTCAAGTTCTGCTTTAATTATTCTGCTGTAGTGAAGGCAAAATTATTCACTTCAATAACTTTGTTACAGAAAATTTCTGTAACATGCAAATATTCTTAGTATTTGAAAAATAGGCCAATAACCAAACTGATAAGAAAGAACAGTTCAGGATAAATTTTAGATGTTTGGAAAAAAAAAAATCCATTATTTAATTGAATTAAATGTGTAAATTATTAATGTGAATTTTTAATTATGTTCAAAGTTTATTAAAAAAATAATCAGAATTATTATTTTAGTACTTGTATTGTTGTTATTAATATCAATATTTTTAACTTCCTCCCCCCTACTTTATACAAGACATCTTATCTCATTGATATTATTTCTGCATGAGTTTATCATAATTTATTGCTTTCTTCTTGATAACTGCATAAAACTGCAATGTTTTACTTTGTGAATGACATCCATCTGTTGAAACGTTCTGAAATGTGATTTTCCAAAATGTATTTTCTTTATGCTTATAAACAATTACATAAGCTAGTACTTTTCAAGCTTTGTATTCACAGATCAGTTTTTTCCATTTCAATCCTTTGCAGACCATTATTTTTGTGAAATTACTTAAAAGTACAGTAGAACCTTGATTATCCGGATTTTCGATTATCTGGATTGTTCAAAATAAACAAAAATTTTACAAATTTGCTGATTTGCATTGGCAAATTAGGACACTGTTTATGTACGTGATGGAATGCATAACATTTTTTGTTTTAACAACGTCTCACCCGGCACAGTGGTCGTAAACTCTTAAATATATTTTGCGTCGTAATAAAAATATAACTTGACATACATATTTATAAATAATTTATACTCAAATTACATCATTTCTATAACCAAGGGCAGCGTAAGGCATGGTCAACGTGGGCCACCACCTATGCCTAGTGGTCCGAAGGGCCTCGCACCTTGAAGGTTTATGCATTACTTAAAAGCCGAGAACACGGCGAAAAATTTTACTCGTCATAAAACGATAAATAGTTTGTCAAATTTTTTTTCATAAAAATGAAGTTTCAACTGCTTTTTATTTTATAAAATCTGTCTTCTTGCGCCACCAGAGGGCCTTTTAAACAATAGGT